CTGTAACGCTCAGTCTTGTTGTAACACTCCTGCTACAACATTCCTTCACTGTCATTAGAATACTCTTTTTCTCCTGCTGTAACATTTCGCTAAAACACCCCTTCACTCTGGACTGTGGGTGAATCTTAGCCCGGTATTCAGGGATTGAATGTGTAATTTAAACACTTATGAACAGTGTGAATCTCAGCATTTACACAATGAACACACTATTTTTCTGATGTGTTTGTTTGTTTTGTTGAGTAACTCTTTGATTGCTTCTATGAACAGAAATGATATTGGACTAATTTATGAAACGTTCTGAAGACCTCATTAGTGCTTCTCAGCATCTCTTGATGGTATTCGAGGGAAATTCCTGAATTCATGCCATTACATGTTTTTACACTCACTCTCTCGGGATGAATTGTGACAGCAACTCATGTAAGTTTGGAGGAAATTCATTTGCATGACAGCACAAGCAGACTTTTACTGATCACATATGATTAGTTGCGCAAAACGTTTATTGTTGCACAATCAGCTCCACCTGTAATCTCATACATGGTTAAATGACTAAGGTCATGTGTCACAAAGTGGCTGTGACACACAGAGGTAGTGAATACATGTATGTGTGTGAATGAGGAAAGGACGTAGCAGTGATTCACAAGTTAAACAAACAGCTTTACTGCAGTACCGGGGTCTAATGAGGTGATCCCAAGTGTGTGCAGAAGGTAATTTGCTGACGTTAGAGGAAAAGGACCAAATTAACCTTTCCTCCACTCATTCCTCATTCGCTCACAAAAACCACACACACGTACATACCACACACCAGACACACACTGATACAGTAATACTATCTAGTAGGTCTTCCTCCTGTGATTCTTTAACCAACAATATGTTTGCATTTCTCCTTCGTTGTCACTCTCACACTCTTTCATTCAAACTATTGGCCAACTTGACACTTTCTCACACACAATCGAGTGACGCTTCGATGAGTGTGTATGCGTGTGTGATCTTGTTCAGACTCTCTGTTTGTGGTAGAAAATTAACGACACTGGGAAATCACATATGGGAAGTAGAGAAGAGACAGACATGACCTGGTGTTAATAATTTTTGTATATTATATTAGTAATAATAATGGAACATACATGGTAATGTATAAATATACACAGTGCCATGAAAAAGCACTGATATCTTCTATTTTTGTGTGTTTCACTCACTTAATAGTTTTAGATTCAAACTAAATTTAATGTGAAACAAAGACAACCTGAATAAACACAAAATACGGTTTTAATACTGGAGGAAAAAAGGTTCCAACATGAACTGGCCCCTTGAAAAAGTAATTGCCCCCTTAGTTACTAATTAACCAATTCACCAAATATATTTGATTATTATGATCTAGTAAACTAGATGCACACAGGCTTCATTACTGCAAGCTCCACTGAATCTTGACATCAGTTAAATAGAACCTTTCCAGCAGTGTGAAATCGGCTTAAAGGTCTCAACAAGCAACACACACATTAAAAGAATTTGTTAAAGAGATGACAAAAAAAGGTTATTGAACTATTTCAGTCTGGAAAGGGTTTCAAAGTCATTTCTAAGGCTCTGGGATTTTAGCGAACTGCATGGAGAAAACTTGGTGCGGTAGTGAATCTTCCAAGAAGGGGTAGACCTACCAATATTCTTCCAAGAGCACAGACAACACACCCAAGAAGACACAAAAGAACCCAGATGAACATGTAAGAAACTGAAGGCCTTGGACACCTCATGAGGTCAGCATTCATGAATCCACAATTAGAAAGAGACTGAGTAAAACTACTGCCAAAGTCATTCGGTCTCATTCTAATAGTGGAATCATGAATGCTGACCTTATATGAGACGGAGTGACAGTGGTTTTCTTGGGAGGGTTGCAAAGCAAAAAACACCAAGAGGAACATAAAGGCTGTTCTGACATACATACACCAAGAATTGCTATACATCCTCAAACTTGCACTGACCCTCCAAACTGCTTGAAAGGTGGTTGTAGTCATGGCCCAAAGAGTCTTTCATTGCTTCTGCAGCAGACATACTGTCTTCTGTTACTTACAAAGATCTTACATTTAGACTAATTATAGACTTATAATTAGTATAATAATTATATAATAATTACACACCTAAAAAGATACACTGCAGCATGTAGATGTACATAATGCAGCAGAAGCGTGCTGGACCTATAACCCAGAGGTCAATGGATCAAAACCATTCTCCGCTAGGAACCATCTATATCTTAATTACAAAAAAAAGGGCAATCATGGGCTGGAGGTTATGGAACCAGCCTTGTGACTGGAAGATTGCTGGTTCGATCCCCTGAGCTGACAGTACATGACTGAAGTGCCATTGAGCAAGGCACTTAACCCCCAACTGCTCCCCAGGTACTGTGGATAGGGCTGCCCACCACTCTGGGCAAGTGCGTTCACTAGTGTGTATGTGGTGTGGTGTGTATGAGGTAAAGTTTCCCTGTTGTGGGACTGTATATGTGATATATATGATATATACACTTATTGGTTGGAATATGCAACCACTGCTGCTCTCAATGGATGTAAGTGATAAACATTGTGATTTTGATATTCAGTTCATGTGAACACAGAGTAAACTAATAAAAATCGTCGTGAAACTACTGAAATTAATAAATACGTTCTGATGAAGGTTATTTTGTTTACTTACATAGCTATAACAAAATGAGTTGCTTTTTTAATAAAAAAAAAACACTTTTTTAGGAGAAAATTAAAAATTTGAACAAATAAGACAATTATCACAATTAATAACAAAAAATTATGAGTAATCATGATTAATCACCCAAAATAAATCAACTCAACAAGAGTGAAAGAGAACAAAGGAATTAAGGAAATAAAACTTTTTGTTAAGATGAACAGTAACTGAAACTGACCTGACACACCTGTTCACCTGCGTGGCTGATAAGGTGTGTCACTACAGATATAGATCCAGGTAAGATTGACGCACACACACACACACACACACACACTCACTCTGTCACACACAAACAGTGTGACTGGAAGGTGTGGCCAGATGGTATGTGTGATAGAGCCATGTGATAGGAAGTGTTGTACGCTTGTTACTCAGATAGCCGTATCCTGTGTCTGTGGGGGTGTGTTGGGGTGGGCGGGGGGTGTCAGCAGTGGGGAATCCTCAGGAGAAGGTCTATTGATTTCAGTTAAATAAAAAACACGTCTGTAATTTATATTATAAAGTATTATAGTAATACTTTCATATTATGAACTTTAAGTTTTGGATGGTAACGAAAGAATTAAAATATTGAATCGGCAAATGGAAAATTATCTAATCAGGATTGTTTTTTTTCGTGGTATCATACAGCCAAGCAAGGTCTCCCATTTGTTAGGCCTTCGGGAGAAGACCCTATACAACCACTCAACCACTAACATAATAAGGAACTGAGAGTGGAATCAACCAATCACATTTTGATTTCCAATAAGTGGGTTCAATTTGGCAATACAATAATGCCACTCTAGGCCTTCTGGGAGTCTTAGGCTGTTTTCACACCTAGTTTGTTTGCTAAAGTCTGAACCGGAGTTTGGGTTTTTGTGTCACTGTCTCTTTTTCATTTGGTTCGGTTGATTTCACACAATGAAGTGTGAGTTCTTGGTCAGAAATATGGCAGAAATACAAGTTTGAGCCAAAAAACTCAGACTTTGCATGAAAATAGAGATACTTAACATCTATATGTTACCCAGTCAAAGCAATAAGAATAAACTTAACTTAATATCTGGTTCATTATGATTGGTTTGTCAGTTTGAATGTAGCCAGTCAGGTCGCTGTATGTTTTGTGATCCATGTGCCACAATTAAATACATTGCTTCACTATTATTTAATTGCTTCTCTGCTATTAGCAGCAGCTCATGCAGCAACAACAATATGAGCATCTGGAAAAAGTCAGACGTTAAAACAGGCAGGTTATGTGGATAGTACAGCAGTACGGTACAAATTGACAATGACAAAAATGACAAAAATACGAAGTGAATGGAGACCCGTGATTTTTGGCAGACCATGGACCACCTGATTTAATCTAATGAAGGATTGATTAGACCAACTGTTGGATGGTAACTGGAAATACAGGGCTTCCTCCAAATGGTTTGGAAACACACACACTGAATCACAATAAATAGTTTTTGTTTATTTGTATTTATGTTGTTTTGTTAAACACTTCTACTGATCAAATCATTTTTTTCAGATGGCTAAGACTTTTGCACAATACTGCATATGTGTATGAGTATTTTAAATATAAATGTAGTTATGAAAGTTATCACAAACAATCCAACAAAAAGCAAAACACAGTTTTTCTTACAGCTACACTGGGAGAGAGAGAGAGAGAGAGAGAGAGAGAGAGAGAGAGAGAGAGAGAGAGAGAGAGAGAGATGGGGGAGAGAGAGAGATGGCGTAGGAAGAAGAAGAGAGCAATAGGGGAAATAGTAACTGGAAGAGAGAGAGAGATAGATAACGTAGTAAGAGGAAGAGGGGGACAGAAGGAATATTAACTGGAAGAGAGAGAGAGAGAGAGAGAGAGAGAGAGAGAGAGAGAGAGAGAGAGAGAGCGATAGGGAAAAGAGGAGAGGGAGAGGGGAAATAGAGAGGGGGGGCTTAGTTATTATAAGCATTGTTACTCATCAACTTCGCGTGTGCTTCCTTTTAACGGGAATCTCGTGCTTCATGTCCGGCGTCCTGCCAGTGAAAGTCAGTGTATTGGGGGGGCGGGACTCCGGAGTGCGTCACAGCAGGGGGCGGGGCGTTGTATACACTCAGAAAGGCGGCTCGAGCAAAGACAGCATTAAGAATTGGACTGCGCGAGAGTGGTCCTCAGTCAGCGCGCGCGTACGCGTCGTTGTTGCGAAGCAGGATCGCAGCTAAATCGTGCACACCTCGGGGAGCTTTACCATGGCGAGCGCGCGCTCCCGCTGACACGCTGCAGGTAAGCTGCTCGCGGTTCATACCGTAACAGCTGTGTGTGCGCGTGAGAGAGAGAGAGAGCTCATACATGCGAGCAGGAAGTTCTCTTATGTTTCCCCCAACAGTGTGTAAGGTGAAGGAGTAAGCTGCTCGCGCGGCTCTCACGAGACACACGGGGAAAGTTTACTTTGTAATCACCACAGTGTGATCTATAACAAAGTGTGTGTGTGTGTGTGTGTGTGTGTGTGTGAGAGAGAGAGAGAGAGAGAGAGAGACAGACAGAGACAGAGAGAGGGAGAGAGAGATAAGGCATACATGAGGAGTGAGGGTTTTCAGTCGAGTTCTGAGCGCGCGTGCTGTTACAGAGAGTGAGCTTTGTAACTGTAAATACGTCTTCGTTCTAATGTTTATGCCTTTTTTTTGCAATGATCCGTGGAGTGTGTCTCATTGGTGAGCGTGTGTGTTTATGTGTCTTTGTGCGTGTTTTTGTACATTTTCAGGACAGAACTGACAGAATTGTCCTGGCCACAGAAAAACAGGACTAACCTATGAAACACACAAAATGCTCCTTATTATTTTTTGTTCTTGTTAATGTTATGGTAAGCTTAAATATATATATATATATATATACTTCAGCACATTTTAATGCACACTATACAATACTTTTTATGTTTGTCCAGTATGTTAGTCTCAGGACATTTACAGAAAAAAGTTGCTTCATATAAAAGAAGAGTTAACTTATTTGCACCAGAAGATGCAATTAATAATAGTAATCATAATATAGCATTGACATATCTTGTATGTTTGAGCTCTATATACAATATACATTATGTATTTAACATATGGGATATTTTATTACATCTCCAAAATGATAACTTTACAGGAAAAGGAAAAAACCTACTTTAATGTAAGTCAGTGGAACCAGATTTTGAACCATTTGCTTATGAAATTTACACACAATGTAAAGGGCAACAGGCGTTATCAAATTAAAAATGGAGATATGAGGTTCTCTTCAGCGATATATAAAATACATACGGACTATATTATTATTATATAAATGAACAAACCTTACATTTTTGCTGTTTTATTATTTTACATCATCTAAAAATTCTGGCTGTTGTCAGAAATCCATGATGAATGGACTGATCTAAATAGTCCAAAATGACAGAATATAATATTGTACATTGGCTTACTTTGAAAGTTAAGAATATTTTTCCTTCTCTTGAAAAGTTCTTCGCCAGTGATGATATGAGACATACATATGTTTCTGATATTACACACTTCCACACTTCCTGATATTGGCACAAAAGGAAGCCAGTGTGTGTGGATGTTTTCCTCTACACTCTAATTAAACTACACAGGGTTCTATGTGTGAACTACTTACTGTCTTCATGCTGCATTTCACAAAGATTTTAATCACACTTCTTTTCATTATGATCATTACATTTAATCTTTTGAAGCTAACTTGTTTTATTTGTGTTTTCCTCCAGGGACCTGTGGACCGTGAGAGTCGTTGTGCTTCCTGTGCATCCGTACATGTGTGAGTGTGTATCCTGCCCTGAATGAAGTGTCCGGTGTGTTGCGGTCAGCCAGTCTGAAGCCATCTGGTACGAGGGCTCTCCTCATGGCGGCCACGCTGTTCGCTCTTCTACTCTTCCTTTCCCGGTCTCCCCCTGTACCCTCTCGCCCAACAGTTCACCCAGGCCCACCCTCACCATCCCGGATGCCCCAGAACGGCACCTACCACCTGCCGGACATCATCATCATTGGGGTGCGGAAGGGTGGGACTCGGGCACTGATCGAAATGCTAAGTCTCCATAGCAGCATCACTGCAGCTGAAAATGAAGTTCACTTCTTTGACTGGGAGTCGCACTACCAGCAGGGTTTGAGCTGGTATGCTTCTCAGATGCCCTACACCCAGCCTGGACAACTTACGGTGGAGAAAACTCCGGCTTACTTCACCTGTGCTAAGGTACCAGAGCGGGTTTTCCACATGAACCCGAATGTCCGGCTTCTCTTGATTGTTCGGGACCCTGTGGACCGTGTATTGTCCGACTACACTCAGGTTTTCTACAACCACTTGCAGAAACGCAAGCAGCCTCAGCCTATAGAGGACTTGTTGCTGCTAAAGGATGGACATCTGAATTTGGCTTACAAAGCCTTAAACCGAAGCTTGTACTACACGCACATGCAACAGTGGCTAACCACATTCCCGCGAGAAAGCTTCCACGTGGTGGATGGGGACGCACTAATCCGGGAGCCTCTGGAAGAGATGCGGAAAGTGGAGAACTTCTTAGGTCTGGAGCCACAAATTAGCGCCGAGAACTTCTACTTTAACAGGACGAAAGGTTTCTATTGCCTGAGGGATCACGAGGGGCGCGAACGCTGCCTGCATAGCTCAAAAGGACGGACACACCCACAGGTAGCACCCGAAATCCTGCAAAAACTTCGGGACTACTTTCATGAACCCAATAGGAAGTTCTTTGAGCTGGTGGGAAGGACGTTTGACTGGAACCAAGCTAGCGAGGACAGACAAGAAACACAAACGTTGAAAGAGGAGTGAAATGA